AACCCCTAATCTGCTTTCTGTCTCTGGATTTGCTTATGCTGGACAGATACACAGAATCATGATACGCAGCCTTTGGGTCTGGCTTATTTCAATCAGCATGATGTTTTCAAGGTTCTTCCGTGTTATAGCACATGTCAGAACTTCATTTCTTTTTTCTTTTGCTTGAGACATGGTCTTGATCTGTCACCCAGGCTGGAGTGCAGTGGTGCAATCACGGCTCACTGCAGCCTCAACCTGCTGGGCTCAGGTGATCCTCCCACCTCAGCCTCCTGAGTAGCTGGGACTACAGGCGTACATCACCATGCCTGGCTATTTTTTTTTTTTTTTTTTTTTGGAGAGATGAGGTTTCAGTATTTTGTCCAGGCTGGTCTCAAACTCAAACTCCTGGGCTCAAGCAATCCATCCGCCTTAGCCTCCCAAAGTGGTGGGATTATGGGCGTGAGCCACCGTACCTGGCCATTCATTTCTTCTTATGGCTAAATAGTCCCTGTATAGATATGCCACATTCTGTGTATCTGTTCATCCCACGATGGACAGGTGGGCTGTTTCCAGCTTTTGGGTATCATGAAGTCAAGCTCTTGACCTTTAACTGGTTTCTAGTTCTTACCTCTCTGCTTGGTTCAGGCTCTACCATGAGCTGCTGGAAGGCTCTGACAAGCCCACCATGCAGCTCCCTCAGTTGCTCCCTGCCTTGGGCAGTCCAACTGGTGACTTCCTGAGGTCTTCAAAAGCCAATCAAGCTGACTTTCCACACCTGTCCTCACGCCAGCAACTCCCACCCCAATCCCACCTTTCTGGATGAAGAAGCTGGCTCAACCCCTCATTATACTGTGGCATTTGTATTTTTCATGTCAATTTACTGGTCTTTTTTTAATTGAGCACTTTGAACAGGCCGTCCACTGAGTCACAGGCTTTACTGAGATCATCCCATTTAATCCTCACAACAGCCCTAGTGGCAGGGTTGCAATTACCCCATTTCACAGACGAAGAATCCGAGAGAGGGATCAAGCAGCCCTCAGGTCTCAGCCTCCCATTTTAGTGCCCTTTTCTCCCTCTTCTCCCTCCCCACAACCCTTTGTCAATACCGCAGTCAAGTCCCATCAGCTCATTTTCCTGTATTCACCCAACCAATTCCCTATCCTGGTAAACAAAAGCCTAAACAAGAGAATAATCCATGCTTATCCAGGTTGCAGGTCTACATAAACCCAACTTCCTTCCATGAAGAGGCCACCGGATGTGACTTCTCTAAGGTCAACCCCCACCCCCACCACACAGGCCTGGTAGCACCTAAGTGCGGAGCGTCTCAGAGCAGTTTGGCTGCCAGGCTCTGCGGTGTTTCCCTTCAGACTACCATCAAGGTAATATGCAAGGGTGCCCTTGGCAGCCACGCCCACCCCAGGCTGGGGCTGCTGAGGCAGTTAGCCAAAGGCACCAGGTAAGGCCCCGATGGGGTGAGCACCTCCAGAAGACAGGGTTGGGAGAGAGGACCTGGGATCCCTGGTGGGAGGTGGAGGGAGCTCAGAAGTTGGCCAGCTCCATGCTCCTGTACCCCCAGAGCCCTGGGTCCAGCTCCCACTCAAAGGCAGCTGTGATCCCTCAAACCAAGGAGGCCAGCAAAGGCAGCCCTTCCTGCCTCTGGACCTCTTTGCTGTGTTTCTGCTGCAAGGCCCGTGGGCAGTGGGGAGGTAGAATTGGCTGCCATAGGCTCTGAGGGCCAATCATGCACCTCTCCCAATTTCACATTCAATGACATCTCATTGGGTAGCCAGAAACCGGCCAGGGAGGGAGTATTGACACCAAGGGAAGTGGCAGATGTTACACATTGGCCCCACCCCCTGCCCCAGGCAGTTGCTAAATATTTACCAGCACCTCCACCCGCACACAGGCCTCTGCCTGGGATGTGGGAGAAGTGGACCCTCGGGGGCGGACCCAGAACAAGCAGGCACTTCTGAAGAGGAAACCCCAGCAGGAGGAGCTCACTGCTGCCACAGCCAGTCAGGGAGGGAAGGGCCTGTGGAGCACTGGGTCCGCCCCTTCGTTCTTCCAGAAGGCAGAAAGGACACGCCATTGCATTGTCCAAGTTCTTAGAGTCAGTGAAGGGCAAACCCCTGGTCTCCTGGCTCCACACCAGTCTCCTCCCACCAAACCAAGTGGCCACCACAAAACCGAACAATTTGCAAATCAAGAACTCCCCTTGAGCTGATAGGTAGGGAACGGGTTGGGGAGGGAAGGCAGGTGTCTCTGTTTTATCCTTGAGTGCTGAGGTCTCTACAACCAATAAATAGGTGAGTGCCGGGGGAGCTTTGGGCACCATGCCCTTCTTGAGTGGGTGGTCTCTCTCTCCTTCCTCCTTGTTTCCCTCCTGGTCTCCCCGGCCGCAGATCCCCCGCCCCACAGACACTACGTTCCTCGTCTCCCTGGCCCATGACGGTTTACCAGCTAGCTCTGTGAGCAGGTAAAGAACATTCCGGGAGTGAGCTGGCCCTTCAAGGGGATGAGTTCAGGGGAAGGTTATGTCCATCAGCTTTCACAACAAATTCTCAGCTTATTAATTCTCCTCTGGTACGCAGGCAAAAGCAAACAAGCTTTTCTCCGGCAGCCTCGCACAGAGGCCTCCCCTGTTCAAACACAGCAAGAGTGGACAGGTTTGGGAGCGCTGAGCTCCCAGGCCCCGCTTCCCAGGGGGCCCTCCTGGCCTCCTGCCTGCAATGTCTCAGCCGCTGAGACAAGGCACGCCCCGCCTCTCTGTGCTGGGAGGCCCCACGGTCCAGCACTTGTGTCCCAGAGATGGTTCCGGTTCTCTGGAACATTCTCTGGGACAGACACCCTGGGTATCCCAGGACCCCCAGAGTAGGGCAGCGCGGGTCTGGTCAAAGCTACAAACATTGCTACAGGCTTCCAACCTGCTCACTCAGCCTCTCTCTGAGGAAGATACTTTATAAGGATGTTTATTTACTGCTCGCTTCAGTTTAAACCATACTTTTAAAGGTTCAGAATGAGGAAAGGAAATAAACAGTAACAAAGTCAAGCAGTCTGAAAAGTTAAACAACCCGAAGAAGACATTTCAAAGGAGGAGGCTGCAAGTATTTATAAGCAGCTGCTCCAGAATCTTTTGTCTGGCTGAGCCAAGAACCTTGGAAGTTTTATACCAGCTTCTTGCAGCCTATGTGGAAACCTCATGACATCCCTCCCCTCCGCACCTTTCCCCATTTGCCCGTTTCTGACTTGGAAGGGAAAAACTCAAAGTCAAGGGTTTGTGAGAAACCCAGAGTCAAGCTACAAGGACTAGAGAAATGGGGGGAGTGAGAGACAGAGATGGAGATGGAGAGAGCTCTTTAAGGTCTGTCTTGCTTTTGCATGAGCTGTGGACGCAGCCCCTGCTCAGAAGCCTCAGTCCCCTGCAGTGTGCACAGCCTTAAGATCTTGTCCAGGTAAGTCTCAGTTAGGCAAGGACGAATGTCACATCAAGGAGAGCAAGAATCGAAGTTCTATTTAAGTCTCTTCTACCTTCAAAACTGCTCTCCCCTAGAGCTGAACTAATTGAGGATGTTCCTTTGAAATGTGCTGTGACAGAGACAGCTTCCTCCTTAGCTCTGTCATCTAGTCTCCCTGTCATGCCGCTTCCTTCAATCCCTTCTCTTCGCCATTTCCCCTGCGTGGGGCTCAACCCAAGGCCCCTGAAGGCTCTGCAAACAACGCAAGACAGAACTGTCTCTGGCTTTCCCCGCGCTGCCTCTGGCATTCCCTGAAATGCATTTCTGTCCTTTCCTGTTTGCTGGCTGTTTGTGGACCATGCCTGTACAAGTGCTGAATCTGTCTTCTCTCAAGTTTCCAGTGCACTGCCAATACTCTCCAAAATCCAGTCTGTATCCTAAAATACTCAGGCGGCCACATGGGTTTGCAAGCTCCCCCATACCTCCCCTACAGTCCTTTCTGGGGGAGGGAAAGGGTCCCCAGCGCCAGCATGAATGTCCATGTTGGGGTGCCTCACTGTCACTTTCTGCCCTCTTCTACCCCAAGGACCAGTACACAAAAGCCCTGTGTGACCCCAGGACCAGGACTGTGGGTGCAGGCCTGGGCTGCTCTCAGCAGGGCATCCGGCAGGGCTGTGCCCTCTGAGTGCCCAAAGCCAGAGCTATGCAACCTTTCTTGTGTCAAGGACTGTTGAAGCCTGTGGACCCTTCCTCAAAAAAACACTTCTCCATGCTAAAATAAAATACACAGGTCTACAAAGGAAATTAATAGTCCTGAAATGCCGCTGCCCAAATATCTTTAAAGAACCAGATGGATGGTATGGTTACGTTACGCGAGTGCTTCCTGATTAACGATTATAAATCAGGATCTAGCAGCGGGTCTAGTAACTTCTGTCGTTTTGAGAAGCAATAACCAGCATGAACAATATTTATGATATCTGCAGCAGCTAGAATGTGATGTGAAAACCGCCGTGACTTCTGCTGGTGACCAAGGTGCAGGCTCGGCCGCATGCTGCGGTCTGTGGCCTCTCTTTGCCGTGGAGGAAATGCTAAATTTTCAGTTGGAGGCGAATGAAAATGAAGATGTGATTCTCCCCCACGCCCACCTCCCAGGCCCCCTGCATTCTGCTTCTGTGCTCCTGTGCCCAAGCCTCCTTCTGTATCCCCAGCACCTGGCTCCTTCCTTCTCTGCAGCCCCAGGAAGGAGTGACAGGCCCTCAGCTTGGAAGGTGCTGGGCTGATGGGCAGCTGGTGGACAAAGACAAGGAGCTCAGTTTTTAGGGTTCCAGGCTTGGGAGAGAGGTACCATTAAAATCTCCTCCATTTGATTCTCAGAGGCAAAGTCACAACATAGCGTCCTGTAGCTCCAGCTTCTTCAGTGCAACCCAGGGGTGCCAGTCATTCGGAGCAGACCCCAGATAGCAGTTAGAGGAGTCTGGGCTTCTGAACGCCCCTTCCCTGTTAACCCACCCCACCACCCCGCCACACAGCAAGAGTGGGAAATTAGAAGCGAAGGGGGCAGTTTACCTTCAGGCTCCTCCACGCTGCTGGCTGCGGTCGTCGGTGGCGCTACGGGGATCTCTTTGTGAGGTTCAAGACAGGAGCGAGGGGAGGGGGATGGTGGAGAGAAAACAAGGTAAGAAGACATGATTTTTTGACTTTAGAATGAGCCCAGCACAGACTCCTCCCAACTTCCTGGGACCCTCCCCTCCATTTCCCATTCCCTGGCTCAAGAAAAGTCAGAGGAACAGAAATCAGCAGCGGCATCCTGGGCAGGTGGTGTTTTTTTCCTTTCGCCTAGCAGGGGGGCGTGAAGGCAGGAGGGAGGCGGCAACACAGAGCCTGGCCTTGCCCCCACCCCCGGGCCTGACATCAACTCAGCTCCACCCCTGGAGGGGCGGAGAGGGGTTTCCCCCAGGCCACTCTCCTCATGGTGATGTGGCTACTGGGCCCTGCTCATCTCTAAGCTCAACTTACAGGTGGAGAAGGAGCCATGGCAGGACGGCACGCAAGGCGCTGGGAACCTGCCCAGAGGAAAAGGTTTCTCCCACATGCAGAGAAGTGTTGGCAGCACGGCCCAGGTTCCGGCGGCCTCACCTCTCACGTGCTAAGGCATTTTCTTAGTGGGCAGCATGGGACCAAGAGTGCAGATCCAAGGGCCTCATAAAAGCTTGTGTGCTTCGTGTTGATTATCCTCTATCTAATACAGCAATTTGGCCAGGTGCAGGGGCTCACATCTGTCATCTCAACACGTTGGGGGCCCAGGGTGGGAGGATGGCTTGAAACCAGGAGTTTGCAACCAGCCTGGCCAACAAAGCAAGACTTTGCCTCTACAAAAAATAAAACAAATTAGCCAGGCGTGGTGGCACGCACCTGTAGTCCCAGCCACTCAGGAGGCTGAGGCAGGAGGATCCCTGGAGCCCAGGAGTTTGAGGTTGCAGTGAGCTATGATAGTACCAGTGCACTCCAGCCTGGGCAACAGAGCAAGATCCCGTCTCAAAAAGTACATATAATAATAAACATTTAAAAAGCAGTTGGTTCCTACTACCTGCCGGACCCCACCCTGTGCTCAAGAAAGGAGAGGAGGTTCATCCAGTCCCCACTGTTCATCGGTTCAGCAGCCTGGCACTGAAGCTCAGGCTTCCTCTTTCTGGACAACGCCAAACCATGGACCAGAAGTCCCTAAGAGGAAGGGACTCACTTCCCCTGGTGAGTGACCACGAACCCCACTGACTGTAGCCACCGTCTGACTCTTTGCGGTAAACTCTGACTCCCAGATTCTAGATGAGCTAGGACTTGAGGCTTGGTGGAGGGACATGGCCTACTCAGGCCGGGAGGCAAATCTGAGAGGCACCGGAGGCATCCTCTGCTCCTTTAGGAAGGACAAGTGGGCGACACAGCCCTCAATACGGGGTCAAATCTTGACCTCAGGCAACTGTATTAGCAACAACAACCCATAGGTGCCCTGTCACAATGGGTGATTAGGAAGCTGGACCTAAAAAGCCACCTGGTCCCAGCAGAAACATCCCGGAGGCAACATCTGAATGGTCCAGTCTAATCTCACAAGTCTACAAATGGAGCCAAAGCCAATGGCCGCAGAACCACTGTGACCACCAACCTCAGCGCGTGAGGTCGGCCTGGCTCTGGGACGCCCACGCAGGGCCCATGGCTACGCAAACTGGGACAAAACAGGGCACGAGTCCCTCAGGCACTGTCTGGGACCTGCAGCTCTTCCCTTGGAAAGAGCACGCGAAAATTCCAGGATGGAGCCCCAGGTTGCCCGGTAGGGAGCAATGCTCTCACCAGGCATCAGCCCGCCCTTTGTGAGAGGAGGGGAGAAGGCACAGGCTGGGAAGTGAGAGTTCGCAAGGGTTCCGCCTCTGATTCAGAAACGCCAGCTCTCATGTCTAGGCTTGATCTTTCCACTTGGGGATTGGAAATGTTGGTTCTAACCATTTCTGAGCAACCTGAGAACGCCTAACTCCCTGAAGAAGACCTCAGTTCCCCGCCCCCATGTTTTCCGAACCCCAGATCGCCTCCCAGCTTTCTAAAACTGTTCACCTTGCAGAATGTGGATGGACAGAAGGATTCTGACAAACTGTGAGGCTGACAATTGGAGGTTGTTGTGAAACCATTTCAACCTGCGCTGCCCTGGATGGGTGCTGAGCCCCCTCTACCGAGGTGTGGATCCTGGTCATTTGCTATTAGCGAGCCCCTGAGAACAGCTGTGTGGAACGTCCCAGGGTTGCTATCATCCTTCATTAGGGCCACAGGTGCGGTGCATGGAAGCCCTGCCTAGCTTCTCTCGAAGGCTCTGGGCTGTCCGTCCTTTCTGTTCTGAACCCACCAGGGGCAGAGGGAAAGCCGACATTCCGGCAATAGTGACAGCAGCACGCCTGGAATGGACCCACCCCAGATTCAGGGTCCAGGTGGACAGTGAGAATGGGGCCAATGCTGAGGACAGCGGCTTGATTTCCTTCAGAAACAGGAGACCCAGTGTTTGTCAGGATAGACAGCCTCAGACAGGCTGGCTCTGCTGAGCCCCCAGTGGCTTCTGTAAGAACTTCTATGAGCTTGGGGGGGGGGTGTCTCCCACGTGGACTCAATGAGCATGAGACCATGAATGCAGGAATGCACATTGACGACAGAACCCACTGAACGGGCCAGGCACGGTGGCTCATGCCTGTAATCCCAGCACTTTGGGAGGCCAAGGTGGGCGGATCACCTGAGGTCAGGAGTTCAAGACCAGCCTGGCCAACATGGCAAAATCCCATACTCTATTAAAATAAAGACAAAAATAAGCGGGGTAGGGAGGCATGCACCTGTAATTCCAGCAACTCGGGAGGCTGAGGCAGGAGAATCACTTGAATCTGGGAGGCTGAGGCAGGAGAATCACTTGAATCTGGGAGGCTGAGGCAGGAGAATCACTTGAACCCGGGAGGCAGAGGTTGCAGTGAACTGAGATCATGCCACTGCACTCCAGCCTGGGCAACAGAGTGAGACTCCATCTCAAAAATAAAAGAACCCACTGAACGTCAGTGACCAGCATCCTCAAAAGCTCACTGTCCTCCCACAAAGCCAGAGACTTGAAAAGCTGGTGTCCCAAACATACTTATGCAGGGGGCGATGGGTGAGCGGCTCTGCTGGTAGCCTTTGGCGCAGCGGTTGCAGGTGATACCCGTCACGCCGTCCTTACAGGGACACTGGCCGGTGGTCTGGTTGCAGGTTTTGCCAGCGGCACCCACGGGGTGGCAATCACAGGCTGCAGAGAACACAAAATGGGAGGGTCAGACAAGGGGGAAGGGGCCAGTGCATCCCCCCCAGAGCCCTCTCTACCCAGGGGTGCCTCCATGGACCCTGCCCTAGAGGAAGAGCAGCAAGGGAGAGCAGGCCCAGCCAAGCCCAAACGCACTCCGGAAGCTCTGACACTGGCCACCCGCCTACCTGGAAACGGGGACTGAAAACTAAAATGGACCGACCTGAAGAGACTGCTTTGGCAGCAGGAAAGTGAAGTGCGGGAGCCCTTTGGAAGCCCAGGAAGAAGGCTTTCAAATACTTTCTGGGGAAGGCAGAGCCCGCAGCCCTGATCGCACCTGGGTGGAGGAGTCAGGATTTGAGGGTACACCTTCCCTTGACAGGGTCAGCCTATGCGTTTTCACTCTGTCCTCAACCAGCTCCCCGCCCCCAAGTTCTCTTGCCGACCCAGGGTGTGGAAGGAGTGGGGTTTGCCAGGTTAAAGGGAGTCACAAGGAGGGGTGGCTCCCCCAGCTGCTGCCCCCCACCCCTGAACCTGCTATGCAGTCAGGCAGCCAAGGCAGCCTTCTGAATCACAAAACCCATACACTGTAGCACTAGAAAGGGTCACAGTGATCATTTAGTTTAAAGGCTTGATTAAATGTGCAAAGACAGGAGAGGTAAAGGAAACGCCCAGAGCCTCACAGGAAGGGAACAGCCAGGCTGGGAGGTGAAGCAAGGCTGGGATTCTCAGGCCAGCAACTACGGCTCCACAGAGCAGGGCCCCCCACCTTCCTCCTGGGCTTGAAAGGGTGGAGAGGTAGGGTTGCCCACCCCGTCATGCTTCACGGAGGCTCTGTTGCTGTGTCCTAAGGAGCCAATTCCAGTAAGAGAGTAGCCACAGGACCTCAGGAGGATGTCCCGCCAACAGACATGCTCCGGGCATAGAACAGCTATACCTGTAGACACAGGACGCCAGCGTTCCCTGCTAAGTCCTGCCTCCCTGAAGCTAGGCGGTGACCTCAGAGCGGTGGGGAAGGAGAAGACCAAAGGAAGGAGGCAAATGTCCTGCCCACACCCCGCCCAGGAGGCTGGAGGTAGGGAGTCGTCTGCAGCAAGGCGTCCTGCAGCAATTCCAGGTGTCCCCTGGTAGCTGCTAACGTGTTCCTCCTCCAAAAGGAGGAAAAAAAACCAAGAACGCAGGTGAGAGCAGTTTAAAGGAGCCAGATTAGAACTTCCCAGCAAGCACTGCTGGGCGTGAGCACGGGAGTCCGTGGCTCAAAACGTGGCCTCTCCCAGCCCAGCTGGCCTCGGGCCCAGGAGTGGCCAATGAGGATAATTAGGAAGAGGAGGGAGGGAAGAAAGTGGAAAGGAGAAGAATGTGAGGAACTGTTGAAGTTGTGTTTGGACATGCAAAAGCTCCTGGAATCACTTGGAGTGATGGTTCTGGGACTGGGGGTGCCCCCGTCAGGTGGGAGGAGGGTGGGGGCACAGGCCCTGGCACAGGGGCAGCCTACAGGGCTCCCTGCCTGTGAGGCAGATGGAACTGCTCCAGTCTCGCTACTACTTCTCATAGATAGAAGGCCTTTTTTTTTTTTTCTTTTGAGATGGAGTTTCACTCTTGTTGCCCAGGCTAGAGGGCAATGGCATGATCTCGGCTCACTGCAACCTCTACCTCTTGGGTTCAAACCATTCACCTGCCTCAGCTTCCCGAGTAGCTGGGATTACAGGTGCCCACCATCACGCCTGGCTAATTTGGCTAATTTTTTTGTATTTTCAGTAGAGGCAGGGTTTCACTACGTTGGGCAGGCTGGTCTCGAACTCCTGACCTCAGGTGATCTGCCCGCCTCGGCCTCTCAAAGTGCTGGGATTACAGGCATAAGCCACCGTGCCCAGCCAGAAGTAATGCCTTTTGTTAGGTAATCGTCTTTTCAGATGTACCCTAAATTCAAGTTCATTCTCTGTTGTCTTTTTCACTCAACAGTAAGAAAAGATCCAGCCTTGACGGCCCATGGAGGCGTGCAGAGGAGGAGGAGGGGAGAAGGGGAGGCTGGAAATGGCCTCTGACCTTTCCCTATGGCCTCTTCAATTCGTCCGTGGTAGGATGGGAGATGGAGCATGGGCAGTGCCTCGAAGTCGGCCGTGCGAAAGCAAAGGGCCACAGCACAGGCTCCTACCGCCTTCGAAGCCCCTGATGCAAGGTGTGAGCATCAGGGGCTCAGGCCAGCTGACCTCCCTTAGCCAGCTGGTAATCCTAAGATTCATGCCAAGACATTCTCCCCTCTGAGCTGATGGAACACAGCTGTGGACCAGTAACTTCTGGATCCTTGGACTTGGCTGAAGAGAGGTCACCAAAGCTTGCTTGGTCACTGCACGTTCAGAGCCAAGTCACACGTGGACACCACCATTGGCCCAGGTGGTCTTTATCTTGGCAGCGGCCAACCCAGAGCGGACTCTGGGTGGAGCCAGGATGGCGCATTGTTCTGCCCCACGGCCCCTGACAGCTGGTGACCTGCTCAGCTGCCTGGGCTGGCACCAGCTGAGGTCTGGCGGAGTGAGGGCCGTCCTGGGTAACGGCAGGGCCACTGTATCGGCTGTGAGCAGCAGGTACTTCCTAAGGGCCCACCCTTTGGTTCAACACAAGCTGATGCTTGCTGCTGATGTGTTCCTCCTCCAAAAGGACCAAACCATTTCCAAATCACTCCAAATCGCTCTCCTAAGATTTTGCAAGAATCTGCCCTATCTGTCTGGTGTATGGAGGCAACAGGCTGACTCGTGTTTCCACACCAGCAGATCATTGTTCTAGGAAGGGAGGCAATCAGGGTCCTAAAGGGTCTGCCCAAGGCAGAGTATTCTTCAGCAGTAGCCGCCCCGTGCAACTCCTGCAAATTCCTTAGCATATCCACACTCTCTCATACGCGTCGAATCCCTTGGTCCTCGCAACAGCCCTCTGAAATGTGCGTGACGGCACAGAAGAGACCACGGACCGGCAAAGAAAACTGCAGGAGAAGACCGGGGGCTGTGCAGAGAGGTAGAAAGGGCCTGGACCTCTGAGGGAACCACCCTTTCTAAACGGCCCCCTTTGTATTTCTTGTTCTGCAAGGAGAAATAAGCTCCTGTCTTACAATACGAAGTGGGTTTTCTGTTACCTGTACCCAATGCAATCCTAACAGACGTGCCTGGAATTCATTCTCAATCCCCAGCCAAAGGACCCCAAAGTAAGAACTTTTCCTAAAAATTCACTAATTGAGATGGCCCCCATTCTCTGTGCAAAGGGTGAGTTTCAAGGTGTAGGCAGAGTTGACAGATGACAATGCCACACTGTGGCCTGGAAAGGGAGAATCTGACTGGCTGAGGCCAAGGGAAGGGTCAGGCCCTGGCCCTGAGGAAGAGAAGGTCAAAGTCACCTCGCTGTAGCCCCTTGACCCTGAAATACACACAGACACAGACACATCAAAGTGCCTACTAGGCCGGACATGGTGGCTCACACCTACAATCCCAGCACTTTGGGAGGCCCAGGTGGGCGGGTCACGAGGTCAGGAGATCGAGACCATCCTGGCTAACACGGTGAAACCCCGTCTCTACTAAAAATACAAAAAATTAGCCGAGCGTGGTGGCAGGCAGCTGTAGTCCCAGCTACTCAGGAGGCTGAGGCAGGAGAATGGCGTGAACCCGGGAGGCGGAGCTTGCAGTGAGCCGAGATTGCACCACTGCACTCCAGCCTGGGCGACAGAGCAAGACTCCATCTCAAAAAAAAAAAAAAAAAAAGTTCCTACTAACACAGAGAGACTCACGCATATTCCCAGAAACACACAGATACAAGCAGACTCCTGCTAAATGTCCCTCCCTCTCTCTCATCTACACACACTGACACACAAACACACAGATTCTTATCTACAAACTCACCCGCACACAGGCATATACTCAGATCCACAAAGCTACACACACAGATACAGACACACACGAGGCAGGGAAGGGGAGGTGTGGAGTGAGCTGGGGAGAAGGTGGAAGTTAGGTGAGTGGAGGTCTTTTCCTTTGCAGGGGAGGGGGCGGTCCGGTGAAGGAGACAAAGACAGAGCCTCCCTAATTCCTCTGAGAACGTGGTCTGGGTCAGAATATCTTCCACCACAGGAAGCCGCTGGGTGGCTCCCATGTCCCTGGAAGTCAGCCACTTTTTTCAGAGGTCGGTCAATCCCTTCCATGGCAGGTCACCCCGTGTGCTTGGAGCAGGCAGCACCTGGCCATGGGAAACAATGTACCCGGGGAGTTTTTCCATAAAGAGAAAGGTGAGGCCAGACGGAAGCCCAGGTCCCTGAGAATGCGGCAGGATCAGGTTTCCCATGAACACGGCAGGCTGGAGAGCTTCCCAGTGAAGCAGAGAACCCAGGCGGTTCTTGCTCTGGGTCATGAGACAGGGACAGACAGCTCAGGTGACCCAGGTGCTTTCAGACAGGTAAGAGGGGATCCCGGTCTGGCCCTCACCCTCCCAGTGAGCCTGGGTTAGTGCCTTTCTCTCTCTGGACCACCGGTGGCTCATCTGTAAGGATGGGGGTCTCCCTCTAAAGTCCCACTGAAGCGACTTACAACTTAACAGGCTACGGTTTTTGTCTAACTGCTGGGTCCAAAGGAACCAGGGTGGCAGTGCCCACCCTTTGACTATTGCCCCTCCTGCTGCCGTTCCTCAGTGTCTTGGCAAGAGACCAGGGGAAAGGGCTCCTGTTGCAGGGCACAGCAGGCCTTCCGTACACCCCTACTGCTGGCCCTGCCTGCACCAGCACCCACCTGCATGGTGTCAGAATCTTATTGAGATTTGGTTTGTCGGTGAAGAGAGGGGGTACCTAGGGACTTCTGAGAGCCCTGGCAAAGCTGACCTGGATGGCAGGTGCTTCTCATCCTCAGCTTCTTGTGCCCAAGTAGCTGCCTCTCCTTGCTCCCTCTGACACTCTCTGAAGGGATCACTGAGGCTCCTGGGCTCTGCCAGGGAGGACACGTACTCCTGAGCCTGGCACCCTCTCCACTGAAGCACAT